GCCCCTTCCTCGGGGCCGAGAGAATTTTGCGCATGAGCCGTCTCTCGGTCACCAGCAAACGAAGGGCTCCTGATTCAATCTCAGAGTGTGGTGCTTTCTCTAACTCGCTGGGTGCAACCAAATGCCCAGTGAATCTGGGCCCAGTAAGGTCCAAGTCCCCTTCTCCCTATATATCTTAAAGCAGATTTCCAGAATCTCACCCAAATATTTGAACTCTCCTGGAAGGATATGTTACTTCTGAATCAGCCCCTGACGGACACTGCTGCTCTGCAAGCAGGAGAGATCTGGGGATGAGCTTTGCATCACACATAGCATCAGGGAATGGAGCAAATACCATCCAACTGGAAGAGAAGCACTATCCGTGAATTATCCTAAATGGGATATCAGTGATGGGACAGTAGACTGGAAGAGGAGACACTTTCAGGTGTGCGTAACGAAAGGCTTAATGTAGGACTAAGACCAAGCGTCCCAATTACACTAAGGTGTCCACGACTGACCAGAGATTTGATGAAAATCTCACTACCTTCTTGGAAAAGCTGAGAGGTCTTGGTCAAGCACACCTCTCTATCACCTGATTCAATTGAGAGACAACTAATCCTAAAGGAGAAATTTATAACTCAGGAAGCCCCTGATTTTAGGAGGAGGTAGAAGAAACGGTCCCCGGGGCCAGATAGTACATTAGAGGACCTCCTAAAAGTGGCAACCCCAGCCTTTTACAATAGAGAAATGGAGACCCAAGAAAGAGGCACAAGCTTTAATGACCGCCAGGTAAGTCCACAAACACCAGAATTTCCAGGCAGGGCACACCTGTTGACTGCTAAAAATACGGCTACAACAGGTACCCCTCTTCTAAAGTTTTAAGTGATCGCATTCAAGATTTAATTTGTTTCACCAATGCAAAACAGCTCGGGATACAATGGTTTTGTTCGTGTATTTCACTTCTTATCTCAGTATCTTTGGCACTAAATTTTTCCTTGTAGGGAATACGCATTTAAACCATGCATACGTGACCTTATAAAACTTGTTTTGTTTTTCTCTCACACAGAGCCCATCAAACTCCAAACAGGCAGGCAACCAGAACCTCAAGACAATGGTTCCCCCTTGCTAAGAACCCCTAATTCAATAGAGCTCCAGAAGGAATCTGTCTGCCATTTTCCCAGAAACAATGCCCCCTGTCAGAAGGAAGCAGCTAAGACTGGTTGTCTCCATATTTTGATGGCAGTTAGATAGGGGGGTACCTCTTCAGAGGAGAAAAATGATACGAGAAGAGGGCAGGGAAGTGCTGGGTAGAGAAGGGCAGGGTCCCTGGCGAGGGCTCCACCCTCGTGCCCGTGGACCTAGGTGAGAAGAGGCACTCATGTTTTCACGCCGAAATCTTGCATTTTCCTAGACCACCCTGGCCTGCCACAACCGTCACCCTGTGCCTATAGAAACCCCGAGACCATAGTGGGCACACACACAAACAGCAGGACATCAAGAGGGACACACTGGCAGAACACACAGATGGCGACAGACCATTGACAGTGGAATGGTGTCGATGCCGAGGAAAATTCAGTAGAGGGTGGGTGGCCAAAGGAGAGAGCCCAGTCACCGAGCAGCCCGACTGCAGGGAAGACCAACTTCCTACTCCATCCCCTTTCTGGATCCCCATCTATCTACTGAGAGCTACCTCCACCACTCAGTAAAACCTTGCATTCATTCTCCAAGCACATGCATCATCTCTGATCTGATTTTTCGGTGCACTAGGGCAAGAACCTGGGATCCACACAGTCCTCTGTCCTTGCCATAAGGCAGAGGGGCTAACTGGACTGATTGATTGGCTAGACAAGCTGCCTGCAGACAGCAAAACCTAGAGAACACACTCCAGCACAGCTCCAAGAGCTGTACACACTCAATCCTAGACACTGCCATGGGGTCACAGCCCATACTCCCCACGAACTGCCTGTCTGCATGCTCCCCCTAGGGGCTGGACCATGTGGGGCACTGAAGAAGTGACCCACTCCCCTGTCACACGTCCTGTGAGGGGTGAACGGAAACTTCTGTTTCAAATATATAGTATCTCATTATAGAAATCTATGCATTCCCCTTGCGGCTATTAAATTGAGCACCCCTGTGAATAGGCTCATCTTTGTAAAGATATTCAGTTACCGTCTTAAGGAAAAGTTTTAAAAGGGCTCATGTTTTTCATACAGAGAACTGCTACATGGCACACATCGGTACCATTTCCAGTTCACATCTGTTGTCAGGACAGGCTTGCCTAACTCTTCTCTTGCCTGCTGTAGAGATGCATCCACTTCGTTTGTCCAATAGGAATGAGACCATTGCAGCTACACTTCCCGACACGGAACTCAGATCCTAACTGATCAGTTATTCTCTGAATCCAAAGAACTCACACTCCTAGAAATGGGCATTAGACTACTGTGGTCTTCAAAGGGCAAATACACATACTTGTGTGCAAACACGTGCACATTCAGTGTATTAACCCTCAGTCCTGGAGAAGACAGACACCATGATTCAGTGAAAAATCACACCTAAAAATGGCCTGAGCAGGAGGGAAGAAAATGGGAGAACATTTCCGGGGGTAGAAAGTTAACTTGGTCACCATTTGGCTGGTTCACTACAGAATTTCCACACAGTATGTATTCCACAAGTATTATTTACTAATCTTCAAACATCAGGAGTAAATTGTTTACTGAACTATGTTACCGTCAGCCAACCTGAACTACTTGATAATTGCTAACCCAATTTTACCTACACTATCATTTTTCGGGGGACAGCAGTTCCCCAAAGTCAGATCGTTTACTAAGTATGCCTGTAATTGATAAGGACAAACTCTTCTTAACTGAATGAACCTCAACACACCTCAAGCGCATTATCGTTAGTCATCAGGATGATAAATACAAATTAAAACAGGATAATAACATGCCTACATAAATATATAGAGCGTTGAAGAAACCAAGCAACGGTGAGAACATAGAGCAACCAGAAATCTCATCTACTGTGAAAGTGTAAAATTGTATAAATACTTCTGAAAATCCGTAACATCTACTGAAAACATGCAGGAGCATTGGCATTTACTATAATCATAGGAAAACAGTTACTGCTACAAACTAGAAATCAGGTGCTATTTACACAATAGGATTCCACACAGCAGTCAGAATGTTACAATTCTAAGTAACAATCTAATTTCACCTCACAAATACAACCTTTACTGCAGGAAACCGGTCACAAAAAGGTAAGCTGCAGATTTCATTTACACAAAGGTTAAGAGTAGCCGAAAGCTTCTCTGTGCTGCTAAAAGAAAGTGCTTATCCTTCGCAGTTTGAGGTCAGTTGCAAAAACAGGACCCAAAGGGACACTGGGAGGTGGGTGGGGGTGTGTGTGTGTGCGTGTATGTGTGTATACACATACGTGATCTTAGCTCACTGCAACCTCCGCTTCCTGGGTTCAAGCGATTCTTCTACCTCAGCCTCCTGGGCAGCTGGGATTACAGGCACACACCACCATGGCCAGGCTGGTCTCGAGCTCCTGACCTTGTGACACAACTGCCTCAGCCTCCCAAATTGCTGGAATTATAGGCATGAGCCACCATGCTCAGCTTCGCCTATGTTTATCTGGTGGTAGCTGCCTACTACAATGTGTTTAAATGAGACTGTCAGCCACCAGAGAAAAAGAAAATTTCAACAAAAGGTGTTTATCCCATCTCGGCTATCATTAACCAACTCCACTTAACTCTTGACCTTAAGTAGGTAACTACTTAGGGTCAGAAAGTAATTTGTTGGTCAAGTGACTTTCTACTCAATTCATTCTTAGTTCAGCCATCCTTCACATCAAAAATGCTTAAAATAACAATCACACTCATATTAAGTTGCTTAGGCCAAAATACAATACATGCTGCACATATAGGCCTTTTAGATTTCCATCAGTCCACAATACAAATCCTGCCTCTGTACTCCAAACCTTACACCACCATCATTCATTCCAATATGTATGGCAAGTAAGTACTTCTAGCCTCTGGACCTATTTCTCAAAACAGTTTTGGTAGTTAGCCAAGACACCAGATTTCCAATCTTCAGGTTAGGGGCACAAGTTCATCTTCAACTCAACATTAAGCTACCAGTGACAGCAGAAAACAGATTTTTAACTTTTTATCGTAGTAAAATCAGAATAACAGAGCATATGCAGTGCCAGCATCTGCAACTAATACAATAAGCAATTACTAAACTTACAGTGACTCGAGGCTCAAAGCTTACATTCAGCAATTACATTCTTTACTGAAAATACTGCTGGCTGATGAAACTGAATGTAAGTCACTGATTATGGCAAAACACAAAAATAACTACATGTCTGAGGACTGTAAATATGCCATACAATCACTGAAGATCAAAACAAAACACGTAACAAAATTCAGAGAACGTGTGTGGATGCAGACACTTCATATCAGTGTTCAGATGTGTTTCATGAATATCTTAAGACAAGCGTATCAAAACCTTGGCATGTTTTAAATTCAAGTTGACAATTCTGTCTTAAATTTTCTCAGAAAATTATAGCTACATTGTCAACACCGAGTCTGCTTAATTTAACTCGTTTAATACAACTTAACATTAAAAGCTCACACTACCCCAAAATATATTATTTCACATACAGTGACACTCGACATTCAAATGCCACTGTTTTCTGTAGTCAAGTTTCTTTAAACTTTCAAAGAATCATTTTTAGGCTTACAAAAATAAATATTTGTCAAAATATTCAATAAATATTACACAACTAGCAGCAAAAAGTATCTAAAGTCTGTTGTGTGCAAATAGTTTTCTTCTCAACTATCATTATATGGTCCCAAATAAAATGTAACAATCTACTTCTTGACTGGCTGCATTCAACAATCTCCGGGAGACAAAATAAAACTGGGAGGTTTAGGACACGCACACAAGACATACATATACAAAATTATCTGAATCTGCAGTAAAATAAATACTTTGTAAAAAGTTATGGGCAAAATGTACAAGAGTCTAAACTTATACTAATTGAAATAGCACCTTAACAAATGACCTCAATACTGTGAAGTACACCTACTTATAAATTTTACAAGGCACATATACTTGAAAATCGATAGCACTTTAAGAAATTTTTCCAACTTCTTATGCTAGTGAAAAGATTTGCTTTTGAAGATCATTGTATTCTGGCCACAAAAATCGGTGCAGAATTCAAAGTAGGAGAGGCATTTTTAGCAGTGGACAATCATCTTGGCCAAATTTACCATCAGACTATAAATACAGTACAATGGAAATCTATGCAAGTAAAATACACTAAAATTGCATATAGAGAACGCATACCTTGTGCAGTTTAGTACACATGTGCAACCTTGATTTCAAGCATTTGTCAGTCTTAGATTTACAAAGTCTACAAGTGTAAGCCATTTTAACATTTCACTGCAACTTAAACAGAATATGAATCTACATTTAAATTAAAGCCTGCTGCAAAATCCTTCCTGTTTAAATCCTTTCTTGACCAAAAAACATCAATACTAGTATGCATTTAAAGACCAGAATCCAAACAGGCCTGTCGTGAGGCTTGGTCATTGCGATGGTCAGCCATTTAACATTTCAAATTTTTATAGCATGCACAAAAAAACTAAATAAATGATAACACCCCAAACATTTTATCAAAACTTTAAACCTCTCCTTTGATAATACGCCCACATCTGCCTAACTTAAAATCAACTTCGTAAACTTTGAAAGAGAAACTGCTGTATTTACTCGAATTAACTTTAAGAGCTCTTTCAAAAATATTAAGGGGATGGTGATACATTCCACCTCATCATAGGTGGAATGGCTTATGTAGAGTGTAGGTTTCTACATGCCTATGCAGGATACAGTGAGCAAAGGAAAACTTAGTATAGGTTGGCCACATAAAAAAAACTATGCTTTAATGCTTTAAGGTGATCCCCCAACCCCGAAGTCTACAAGAATCAAACAGTCTGAATGCAGGCTACTGTCTAAATTTTTTTTTTTTTTTTTCCCCATTTATATTTATGGATGAATTGATGGTTATCTGTTGAAGTTGTATCACACCTGTGTGCCAACGGTTGATTTTAGGCCAAGTTTAGTAAATTAATTTTGTCAGAACAGTTGGTATCATGAGTACTACTGATCCCACAGGATATCAAAGTAATAAGTTGTCTAAAGTTAAAGTCACAGTACCTTAACAAACAAAACGATCCTTAGCCACAAACTTATAAATGCAGTTTGGGGTGGGACGAAAGCCGGAGGGGAAGAGTTAAATCCAAACTACAGCAATTAAGTCTTCAAACCAATTTCTGAATAGGGCTGCTATTTTATTTCCTTTCGATTTTCTTCTTGTGACTTTGAGCTTCCCTAAATTTTCAGGACAATCACTGCTGGTAATGTACTGCAAGTTCTTGAGGAAACATGATACAGTCTGGCTTAGTTACATGTGGTTTCCATATTAGCTTGTTTGTAAGGGTGACTTTGCTGCAAAGCAGATTCAGTTGCCCCACCAGTCAACCCCCTGGGAGGTATAATTTCCTCCATATCCGTCGCTATTGTAGAAGCCTCCATAGCCACCTATCAAGAAAAATGTTTAAAGAGAAATATTTAGTTTTCCATTAATACATTTTCTTCTTTTTCTCAAGTACTTTAATGTAAACCCAATAAAAGAAATCTAGTGTTAAGAGTTTGTGTCCCTCAGAAATTAAATTTCCCCAATGAATGATGGTTTGAAAAAGAGGACTCCTAAGAAAGCCAAAAGGCCCTTCCTCAAGGAAAAATTAACAGTACCTCCACCAAATCCTCTACTGCTGCCGTAACCACCTCCACCACTGCGGCTGCTGCTTGCACGACTACCACTGAAGCCAGAACTGCTGGAACCACTACTCTGTCGATAGTCTCTAGCACCAAATCCTCCGCTGAATCTATTATTGTAAGCAAAAATATAGCATGGCACTGTAAGTATAAAGTTGGATTAAATAGCAGATTCCTGCTTAAACTGCACAATTCCCAATTTAGTTTTTCAGATCAGTTCCATTATGTTCTAACGGGAACCTTACCATTATTGTTCCATGTGTTCTAACAGAGTTTCTAAAGTACTCAGTAATGAAGAACCGACACTTAATTCCATGTCACCCTTTCTAATAATTACCACTTGTCCAAAATGTTGATGTATTATAGTTGAAAATACTTGTTTAATATGTTACTCGGGGAAAAGTTAACTCTGAAACCTTACTGCCCCCAATAAGTAATAAAGAGAATGAAGGCTCACAATAGTGTGTACCTTTTAGATCGTCCACGATTACCACCTTTGTAGTGGTGTTCATAAGCCATATGTTCCAACCAAGAAGGCACTTCTTGTTTAGCTTCTACAAGAAGATCCAACAAATCCTTTGTAATATTCACATTTTTTTCATTAAAAAATGAGGTGGCAAGGCCTATGGAGATCATAAAAAGTACATGAAGTTTCCATAAAGTAGCATGGTGTTCTTACATTCGTATATTCCTATATAAAATATAGTAAGTCAAAAACTTAAATAAGACATTATGATCTGTACAACAAGCAAATCAAAGGGACGGAACGAAAAATTTCGTTGGCTGATTAATCTAAAACTTTTCCTATGATATAAACATTCTATTTTTAAGATTCTTTGTCAAATCTTTGCTGTATGCATCACAATAAAAAAAAATAAAAATAAAACTTCTAACAAAATTCTTACCAAGATTTCCTACACGTCCCGTACGGCCAATACGATGCACATATTCTTCAATGTCACTTGGCAAATCAAAATTGATAACGTGTCTCACATTTGAAATGTCCAGTCCTCGTGCTGCCACCTGAAAAATAACTTTTATTTTAAAAAAGCACTATACAAACGTGATTAATTAAAAAATAAAATTTACATACAGCTGTAGCCACAAGAATTGGGCTTTTTCCCGAGCGAAACTGATGAAGGGCCTCCTCTCGATCTCTCTGTGATCGGTCTCCATGAATACTTGTACAAGCATATCCTTCATGGTATAAGAAATCCTCCAGGGAATCCGCTCCCTTTTTCGTCTCTACAAACACCAAAGTCAGTGAATCCCTCCCTGAAAAATCAGAACGCTTTGTTTACTCATAATGAATTAGCATCGCTGGTTAATCTAAATACTAACTGGGTTAATTCTAGTCCTTCTGCTAGAATAAATCTTGGAAGCAATGCAAACAGACCCAATTGAAGTAAACATTGTTCTAATGATGTTGAGAATGATGAGAAAAGGCAGTTCGACGGGACAGAAGAAACTTAAAGAGATTCTCCATACATGTGACTGACACTATTATTATTATTCATAATTTTACCTGTTGCCCCCAACAGATCAAGCAGAAACGACCGTTTATCTAAGTCTTCCACCCAAACTACTTTCTGTGTGATGTTCTCAGAGGTAGAGCCTACTCTGCCTACAGCCAAAAAGATATATTCATCCAAAAAGTCACGAGCAAGCATCTGAAAAAGTGAGAAAAATACTCAATTATCTACTTTAGTACACAAATTATCTAAACTTAATAAACACAAATGGCTGAACAAAAATGGAAACATCAAACAATACCTGTATTCCTTTAGGAAAAGTAGCACTAAACATCACAGTCTGACGAACACCCTTTGGTGGCATAGTATCTTGTTCAACTATACGACGTATCTGAGGTTCAAATCCCATATCCAACATCCTATCAGCTTCATCCAACACTAAGTATCTGTTATGAAAAACCCTTAGTTGATCCTGGATCATTTGATCTGAGAAACTAATTACTCAGTATAGTTGCGTAACTAATTATACAAATGTAGTCCTTCGATAAGGAAATATTCCAGAGTCACAATTTCATACATATGCGACAAATGCAAACAGGCACGCATGCACACACACGAGCACGCATGCACACACATGGGCACCCACATACACACACACACAGACACAAAATCACAAGACAAGATGGCTCAAGATGACAACCAAATTAGCCATATGTTGACTGTTAAAACTTAGAACCACGATTAAAATTTCACTTACTCTTAAACAAAAAGGTAACTGCGATTTTCAAAACTATGTGGAAAATTAAATTATCAAAGTTCGGGCAGCCCTAGTAAAATACTACTGAAGTAATCAACTTTTAATATAAAAATAGGTGCATCCCATATGAAAAACTGACGTACTTGCAGAAGTCTAATGCAATCTTTCCTCTTTCCATCATATCCACTAGACGTCCAGGAGTGGCTACTAACAAGTAGCATCCACGTTCTAAGTCCCGAATCTGCTGACCAATATCAGCACCACCATAAACTACGCAAGGACGAACTCTAGATCGGTAAGAAAACTGTAAGCAAAGAACGTGTCAGTGGCCATAAAAACATAATTGGATCAATGAGAAAAGCAATAATTGTTAAAATGAATATTTTACTTTTCTGGCTTCCTCATAGATCTGTACAGCCAATTCTCTCGTTGGGGCTAAAACCAAGGAAATTGGATATTGCTTGCGGCGCCCATATCTTCCATTTTCCTAAAAAACAAAAATAATTTAAACTTTCTGAGCCAAAACTGTAATTCTTTTAAAAATTTACCAGTTTCCTTTTCTGATGTGCAGATAACATCGACAAACTTATTTTCATTGGGTGAACGGGGTGAAAAATTAAAAATAAGGTGTAGTTGGCATTGTTTACAAAAGTCAACAGGCATTTACAAAGCCTTTTTAAAACAAACATGCCTTATTTTACAACAATACCTTTACCTTCACAGCCTTCAAAGCTTCTCCTGGACCATCTGTATATATCTGACTCAGTATGGGCAAAAGAAATGCTGCAGTTTTTCCAGAACCTGAAGACAAAACACGGACTTATCATTTCTGAATATTAATTGTTGATAAAGCGTTCTCAATGCTCTCACATTACAAGAAAATTTTTCTTACTCCATTTCCAATTTTTTAGGATGTACAGTAAATTTATATGGCAAACCTAAGAAGTAAAGTGCCTTCTGTGCTCTATTTTTAAACAGTACATTTTAATTTGTACAAAACACAACTGTTTTGTCTGAAAAGTGGCACCAACTTTCAGTTCAACATTTCTTTCTAGTGGCTATATAGTGCTGGAATGTAAAGCAGCAATCAGTAAACTTTACATCTGTACAGAGCTAACTAACAGTACATGGTTCTCGTAGGCCAGTCTCTACAAGAGAACGTCTTTTATCTGTGCCAAATCTCTGGCTAACCTCTACAGCACAGGCATTAACAAATGGGTATTTATATTTGAACATAGCTGTTGAAAAATAAACAAGTCCCAGGTTTGACATGAGGCTGCAGTCTGCTAACTCCTGTGGCATTAACTGAAAAGGATGCAATTCTATTTCTTAAAGAAGGTATTCAAGCTGACAATTTGCCATGCGCTTCCTCAAGACGCCCAGATACAAATACTAGTCTCATCCCAAGGATCCAAAGGTCCAGACAAAAAGGCACATCCCCAAGCTATCTCAAATGCTAAACAAAGGATTCAGACATCCCTTCAGAACATACTACTTTTAAAGTAAGCCCAATTAGATAGTCTTAACTTTTACTTTTTATCAACTAAGCTTACCTGTCTGGGCACATGCCATTAAGTCTCTTTTTCCCTTAATGATAGGAATGGCATGTTTTTGCACTGGAGTCGGACGAGTATAGCGAGTAAGTTCAATGTTCCCCATGATAATTTCTCCCATGTCAATATCACTGAACTGTCAGGAAATGTAGCCAGGTTAATCAAATGCAAGAAAATATAGAAGTACACATGGCAGATATAAAATTGCTGTATCTTTTGCAATTTCTGTTTTACACTAATGGAAGTAACCACACCGTCTGTGATTTGGTTTACAGATGCGATGATTTCAGTTAAAGAATCATGGCAGTTTTTAGGAAAACAAACTCCTGGGTTGAAAAAATCAAAAAAGCGTTTGGAGGCAGGCATGGCTGTAGCCTTTCTCCTTTTTGAGACGGAATCTCACTCTATGGCCAGGCTGGAGGGCAGTGGTGCAATCGTGGCTCACTGCAACCTCCGATGCCTGGGTTGAAGGGATTCTCCTGCCTCAGCCTCCTGCGTAGCTGAGATGACAGGTGCGTGGCACCATGCCCGGCTAATTTGTGTGTTTTTAGTAAAGATGGGGTTTCACAATGTTGGCCAAAATGTCTCTATCTCCTGACCTCATGATCTGCCCGCCTCAACCTCCCAAAGTGCTGGGATTACAGGCATCAGCCGTCGTGTCCGGCCAATTCCAAGACTATTCTTAACAGTGACATTCATGTTTCATAATCCAATGGGTTTGCAGTAAGAACTTTAAAAAGTCAAACAAAAAACTTACATTTTCAATATGTGGAGGGCAGTTACTACCGGTAGCCTCTACTGGTATATCATCGTATTTCTCAAAGTTAATCCCCGTGTTTCCTCCAGAAAACAGTTCCCTGAAATCACACAATTATTACATGTATATTAATTGTTATGAAACTCATGGCTTAGTATAACATGTTTTTCAAAAACTTACCGCTCTAAGCGTTCACTTGGTGGAAGTGGTTTTGACCAATCATCTTCATCTGACTTGTCATACCAACGACTGTGTCCACTCCGTTCATATCTACCGAAGCCAGTTCTGTCACGATTGCCAATACCGTCATATTCGCTCCGTCCACGATCATCAAATCTGAATGGCACGAGCAATGAAAACACATGATTTAGCCTATACTGCATTATCACCTCTGTAGAAATGTCCTGGGGTATCAGCTGAGTTACTGAACACAACCACCCTTAAACAATGTCAGCAACTCAGTGTTTATCTCCTGTGAAATAAGCCCCTCTAATTAACCAGTGCTTATGTGTAATTTATGTCTTCATTTTTAAGAAAATCATAAATATTTGTATAAAATTACACAGCTTAGACTTCACATGCTAAGAATTAGGTTTAGATACTTATAACTAGTGCATACTCTACATCTTCATTTAAAGTACTATCATCTAAATATATTTACTGGTAGGAAAGCAGGAATAACACATGAAATTTTTTAAATATAAAATTTTTAGATATAAAAAAGTAGAAGACATGTGACAAGAGAACATCTTTTAGAGTTTTATTCCAATTTGTGAAAAACAGAAGACAGGATTAAATTCAATTATTAGGTTTTTTTGTTTCTTGTTTTTCTTGAGATGGAGTCTTGCTCTGCCACCCAGGCTGGAGGGCAGTAGTGCGGTCTCAACCCAGCGCAGCCTTTGCCTCCTGGGTTCAAGTGACTCTCCTACCTCAGCCTACTGAGTAGCTAGGACTACAGGCATGTTCCACCACGGCCAGCCAATCATTCTATTTTTAGTAGAGATGGGGTTTCACCGTGTTGGTCAGGCTGGTCTTGAACTCCTGACTTGTGATCCTGCCACCTCGGCCTCCCAAAGTGCTCTGATTACAGGCATAAGCCAACCCACCTGGCCCCATCTCGACTACGAAAAGAATAATCAGCCAGCCAGGTGGTGGGCGCCTGTAGTCCTAGGAACTTGGGAG